CTAAATTATAGAACATATAAGAAATTGTATACGAAATATCCTGCTACTTAAAAAGAACGGATTTCAGCCTGAAATTTGTGAAAAATGCTTCTTCATGCACTCCTCACCAAGTAATTAGGCAAATCTCTTGTGTTGGAAAAAGAAAGGAGGACATTGCACTTAATTCTGTTGAAATCCCGAATTGATTGAGGATAATTGATAAGGATTCCCCTTTCCATAGTTAGAATATATTGATTGATTTGTTGTAGATTTGTAGAGATTGTAGGATAATTTTATATCCTTTTTTTCCATCTTTGTACTATAAATAGGGACTTTTGCACTATACAAAATTCAAGAAATACAGAAGAAACGTTCTGACTTCAGTCTTCTCTATATTTCTACATGGTGTCAGAGCCCATTAAACTCTAACGAGTAATTCGATCCGATTAAAAATCAAAAAATTGAGCACACGAATTTTAAGATTAGCTTGCTCAAACGATCCATCTTGCAGGGACATGTTAAGGAATAAAATCTCACATATAAAGATGAAAATATAGATCAATTTATATGGGTTTTGGCTACTCCTCTTAACGATATTGACTTTTTAAGATGGAACTCCAGGTTTTAACATGGTATCAGAGCCTAAGATCATCTCTTAACCCAACAAAATAATGATAGAAACCACCGCCGGTAGCAGAGGATCGACAAACTTTGACTCTCTCAATGGCGAATTTGAAGCAGCTACTGCTATGGGTTCCGGGAAAAATTCATCATTCCAATTGACAGTTGAAAAATTGAATAGGAAGAACTTTCGAGAATGGGTTCAATCGATCAAGTTAATAATTGATCGAAAAGGGAAATTGGGTTACCTCGCTGGAGAAACAAAAAAGCCTACCGCAACCAATGCTGCACATCTGAAAAAATGGAGGTCAGAGAATTCCATGGTTATTGCGTGGCTCGTAAACTCCATGAAACCTGCCATCGGGAAAACTTGTTTCTACAAACTGCGAAGGATGTATGGGACGCAGTCGAGGAAACGTACTTAGATTTCGAGAATTTATCCAAAATTTGTGAAATCAAGACTAGGTTATGTCAAACTAAATAGGGTGAACGAGATGTGACTGATTACTACTTGGAGATGATGGCTTTGTGGCAAGAACTCAACTTGAGTTCTGAAGAAGAATGGGAATGCCCAGGAGATAGCGCTCGTTACAAGAAAAAAATTAGAAAACGAGAGAGGATACGAGTTCTTGGCCAGACTACATCGCGACCTTGATGACGTAAGGGGCAAATTCTTGGCCGTCGACCATTACCGTCCAGAAGGGAGGTCTTCGCAGAAGTCTGGTGAGACGAAAATCATGTTGGAAGAGTTCGGTGGAGTGCTTGGGTCAGGAGCTCAAGTTTCAACCCTATTATGAAAAGGTCTTGGGCCGGTGAATAATGGAATTGGGCTTATAAAAAAGTGGGGCCCAAAATTCATATGAGGTCTTAAAAAATTCTGGTGTTGAACCTGAAGTTATGAGTCTTTACTCGAAAGGGGCAACAAATGGGTCAAGCCCAAAACGACAACGGGGACGACCTTGGTGTGAACATTATCGGAAGTCAGGACAAAGAGGACACATGCTGATATTTACATGGGAAACCGACTAATTGGAAACCAAGATAAAACAATAAAAGCCGTGGATACCAAGCATCGTTCGATCATCAAACAGAAAAACCTGAAGTAGAAAACAACCAGTTTAATTCCGAACAGATAGAGCAAATCTACCAAATTGTCTCTAGTCTTCAAATACCTGGTCAAACTTCTACGAATGGTTTGTCAAGTTCCTTGGTGCACAGAGGTAATTTTTTCATAGCCCTAAAATCCACCGCTCAATCTCAAACTCCCTGGATTATTGACTCTGGAGCACTCGATCACATGACGACGGACTCTTATCACTTGTTTTCCTTATACTCACCATGTGCTGGTAATCTTACGGTTAAAATTGCAGATGAATCGCTTTCTTCGGTCACAGAAAAAGGGAGTATTCAAATTTCTAATTCTATAACTAGAATCGGTCCTTCATGTTCCAAATTTATCCAGTAATTTATTATCAATAAGCCAGCTGACAAAAAATTCAAACCGTTCTGCTAAATTCCTTCCATCTC